TAATGTAGTCCTTGAACCAGATAATATGCAGGTTATTTATTAAATAACATCAATACAAAAACTTATTACTTAACTTATGCCATATAAAAATGACAACACACACTTGAATAGTATGTTCATCCATCACTGACATAATTGTTAGTAAGCTAGTAAACATCACTCGCAGATTGCACCATGATATTTAAGAGTTAAACCTAAATTTCTCCGATGTCATTAGGAAAAAAGAAATCACCCCTTATAAGTTACTAATTAAATATATTTTTAAAAATTTTTAGTTTGACTATTCCAAAATAAAAGAACTGCAGGAAAAATAGATTACCTTTTCTGGACAATGTAAAATATGCATACAAGTTTACATGCTACACAAATTTTTCTCTCTGAAAACAGGACTCGCACACTTCTGCACAAAAAAAAAAAAATTATGGATCTACCAAAGCAAATAGGAACTAACACTATTTACACACAACTCCACTTTTGTAATCTGTAAGAATTAGCTTTATGTTGATACTTTTTTTATGCCTCATTTCATCATTACTCACTTTCCAGAGGTATTTGCAAATTTTGTCATATGACATTAAGCTAAACTATCAAGATAAATAATAATCAGAATGAATCATAACAGAAGCTTGGCTGTTACCACTGCAATTGACTGCTTAGAGAGGAGAGCCACCGATCAGAACAGACATGAATGCTTGATGTTGTTAGTATTGCAAGTTGCTCTTTGACCAAGTCTTGTATCATAGCTTTATGTAGATTTGATGAAATTGTAACCCAGTTAACATATATTTAACATAAGGTTCCAATATGCCACTGATGAAAGATCAGCTGTAAGGAATATATGTTTATATTTATTCTACATTACATTGTGTTGTATCTTGCAAACACAATAAAAATTAAGGAAAGGAGACAACTTTTAAGGGTGAGCACTTAGTTACAAATAATTAAACTATGTAATTATATATTTTTAATTATAATTTGCATGGTTACAAGTTTTTTGTTTTTCTAAAGAACAATTTGTACTTAGGATGTATAGACAAAAGTTCTAATTTTATTTCTTTAATAATATGAGCATTGAAAATATACGAGGTCAAGACCAATGCCAAAATTTTTAGAATTTAGGAACAAAATTTAGGGCAGGCATTTGAGGTACGTATAGTGTACCAAGTAATATACACTGAATCTTTTAATTAACAGTCTGTTTTCAATTTCTTTGATACTTTTGTGTAGTGAAAACACAAACATATTCAAGCTTCTGGGATCAACAGGAGAAAATTCAAATTTCTTTTCACTGTTCTTACAAAAAAAAAAAAAAATTCTTCAAAAGTAAAGTGCAGAATCGGCCGCTTATATGGCGTGTATCGATGTGTACATGGACAAAGTCAAGGGAGTGCACAATGCCAAGTTCGTGCAATTCTTTGATTTGTTATTTACAAGTTGGCAATTTTGCAAAACGCACGAAGCAGTGGGTGATTCTGCATTTTCCTCAAAAATTCAAATAATTTTTGGCACATCCTTATTATAACAGCCTCCAGGACTAAATCTCTAATTAACCAAGATTTCTTCCTTCCCACTGCATGGCACGTATAGCCCAAGTGGTTAATTTTTGGATTATGGTAACTTGGCTATTTTTTGGCAACCAACCCTGCTACAGCAACCTGCTAGTTTTTATTTGGACACCATTTCATGTTTTTTTCCCTTCCTCAACAATTGTTTCCAATAATCTGCTAGCCGAATTATGCTTATGCTAGAACTTTAATGGAACAAAAGTGCTTAATCATGACGAAGATTAGGTGCGAAATTGCAAACTGCTTGCCGTGTTTTTAAGAATTGCACATGCACGGTATCTATGTACACGTCGACCTATTTTCACTTAAAAAAACATTCCAGAATTGCACACACTCTTGACTTTATCCATGTACACTGCTAAAGTCCTAGCTAGTAACATTTATCGCCTTACCAAAATGTTGCCAAACTACCTGTTACCATGTTCCAAAGATTAGATGCCCAAGTTGCCGAACGCATTTCCAGGAAGTTTGCCAAGTGCCGCTTATCTGAGTATCCCCAATAAAATTATTAAAAATGGCACAGATAGTCCATTTCAAAAACTTTAATATTAGCTTTTATTTTCTAATGCTGTGCCAAAACCATTTTAGTTAAAATAATTTACTTTTTTCCAAGCCTTTATTAATTTAGAATGTTTTAAAAAGGACAAAACAAATGCTCATTATACAAGGGAAGCACTTCCGCAAAGAACCTGGTATATGTAAACATCGCCAACTTTGGCGATAAAAGTTCAAACCTGGTAACTCATTGGATTTATCCTATTCACTTGTTCGAAGTTTGCAACCATTCCTCATGTGTTCATTTTGTTGAATTATCACTGTCGTTGTTCATATTTGCAGATTTATATTATTCTTCTCTTACTAGTATTATTTCTAAATTTGGTAAAATCCTAGTATACAGTGCAGCATTGGCACTATTTTGAAAATTATCGCCAACACCAAAAATGATCCAAAGAACGTCTATATACTATACACTATGTGTCTATATACATAATATATACTATATATATTCTTTGAATGACCTGTTACTACTCATCGTACATGTCCCATTTTTACTGCTCATCATAAAGTCGCCAAATCCCGTGTGCACCGGATACTAGGATTAAACCCTAAATTTTTTAACAACGAATAGATAGAAATATTTTTGTAGATATATGCCGGTTCTCGATGAAAGGAAGAAAATACGGCGAGAGGGGTGAATGCTAATTTGTAACACGTTGTGTTCTTAGTTATTAACAGCTCTAAGATTATGGATCTACCAAAGCATGAGGTTTCCAACCTCTAAAATAATTTGTTTTCGTAGGCCGCAAAAATGTGCATGTTAAATAATTAAGAAATGCTTTTATTTTTGGTTAACGTCATCTAAAATTATTAGAATAAATAAATTTTTATGGCATAAAATTTTAACAAGATAATATATTGTTAATGCTTTTCTAACAATAACAGAGGATGGCAGGTGTGACATTAGTTTGATGCATTACCATGGTCATCAAAATAAGCAAACCACTGCTGGTGTAAGGAATATATTGTTTTCTGTGTTAACTGGAATTTAAGACAAATTTTTTTTTTGTTTATCACGTTTAACCGGGTAACTTCAGTACATTAATACTAATTTATATTTTTTAAATGAATTTTTATTTCCGTTGTAAATGCTTATATGTTATCTTATGCTTAATATATTCTTTTCTGTGCTAACTTGAATTTAATACAAATTTATTTTCGTATATCACATTTAACCGGTTAGTTTTACATCTACATGCTTATTATCTGTGAATTTTTACTACCATATGCTTATTATATTGTTTTGTCTGCTAACTTGAATTTACATGCACTAAAAATCACCTTTACAAAATGTCACGTTTATGGCTCGGCTCATCATCGATGAACCGCGAGCTTGGCGAGTAAAAATGCAACGGGTTCTCTGCAGATGAAAACCCTATACAGGTATAATAAAATACTATTAGGTGTTGTCATGAGCTTGACAAGCATATTTTTTTCAATTTCAATAAGATATCTTGTAAGCTAATAAAAAGGTTCAATTTAAAAATTATGAAAGAAATAATACTTATATTGGATTTCTTTCCTAGTAAATTGCAGTTTTGTTTTCCACACGTGATACATTCCATAACTTTTGTCTTTAATGTAGCAGCAATGTTATAAAAATGTTATGCAGTCAAACCATCTAGGCACTAGGTTTAACTGTCAGTATGTTTTAATTATGCAGGCACTTGAGTAAGAAAATAATATATATACACAACGAAACAAAAAGATAAGAAAATTGTATAATAAAAGGCTACAGGAATAAAAATTTGAACAGGGAGCTAAATCTAAAAAAGTTATCATTTGTGAAGGTAACTTTATTACGCTCATCATCATTTTGCCATAATGAATTTAACTGATAACATAGTTTCATCATAATTTTGCCATAATGAATATAACTGATAACATAGCATAACATAGTTTTGCTCTTATTATAAATAAAATGGATAGTGCAATATGTTTCAAAATATTAAATCATATTCCTTTCTTCATTAACAATATACTACTACCATTAATAATAAAAAATTTAAGATACCATACTTAATGCAGTCATAATTAATAGCACACATCATATGCGTATAATTACAAAAGTTATGAAAAACGATATGTAATTTATTTCAGAATAAAATTCCTCTCAGCAGTAATCTTTTAAAACTACAACTATTAAACCATTATTATGATCTTCTCCAAGATAGCAAATACTAAAAAATTTAATATATATAAAAAAAAAAAAAAAAAACACATTTTTATCAAAGACAGAATTATTTATTAAATCCAAATGTAGACAATGCACATTAAGCAATCCACATTTATCATTTAGTAACATCACAGAAGATGAGAATTTTGTTCAACTTCCAATCATAATCTATCAGATAAATGGGAATATCTTATTCGAAATCTATACTGGACAATAAAAGAAATATAAAAAAATTAATTGAAACTAAAAAGTTGGTATAAGATATGTGTGCACTTTTTAAATAAAATATCAATGGATTCTGCATTTAAACATTATTAAATTTATATTGATATTCAGAAAATTTATTACCATCATGATAAAAAAATTTAAAACAAAATATTAGCCAAACACAATTTAACAATAATAATTGAAATAGGAAAAATCAGTCGCATGAAATGATTTTTAAATACAAACATTTCTAAATGTTTTCATATGAATAAATGACGTGATTAAACAAATTTAAAATTATTTATAAAAAAGATATTTGCCTAACTAACATACATAATCAAATGAGAAATTTTCCAGCTGATCACAAACATAAAAGTGCATTAAAATTAATTTAAAAATTACTATGTTACTTGAATTTAAAAAGTGTAAACATATTATTATTACCAATACAAGGAACAATTGCTTGAAAACAAAATCCAGAATGATTTATAATGGTATTAAATAATATTTAGTTCCTTCTGCAATTTACTGATGACATATTTATGATCAGGAAACTTCAGCTTTCGAGGCGGTCCCTTCTCAATACCACTCCACACAACCGAATTAGTTTCGTCTTTAACTAAAATACACTCAAAACTTCCTTTGCGGGGCTTTTCCGGATTAATGGTCACAGAAATGTTATCAAATGCTTGCTCTAATGCTTTCTTAAGAGCAACAGCGTTCCTTCCATACACTTGTCAGGACTTACAATGTTCAAGAACTATTCTGACATCTTTTGTCATTTTTTTAGAAGAGGACGAACTTTCAGATTCTTTTTCTTCAGCAGGTGAACGTTTTTGCTTTTTTGTTGGAGCTTTTTCTTCATCAGATGAATTTTCAGATAAATAAGGTTCTGGTTCGGGTGCTGCTTTCGGTTTTCGACCTCGCTTCCCTTTTGTTACCGTTTGATTCTTCGCAGTTTTGCCTTTCCCAGCTTTCTTCTTTCCACTTTCCTTTTTTTCTACATAGTCTTCATCTTCGGACCCTGCAGCAGCATTTGATTCCTCTTCTGAAGCTGAATCTTCAGTATATTTGGGAACAGATTTCTGGGGACGACCTCGCCGAGCTGGTGCCATTTTTTTTTCAGCAGGTTTACTTTTCGCAGTTTCTTTCGGTTTCTTTCCACGCTTCTTTTTAGATTCTTCTTTATCTTCTTCCTCATCTTCTGATTTCGGGACTTCAGCAGGTTCACTGCCAGAATTTGAATCTTCAGTATAATTTGGAACTGCCTTTTGCTGTCGGCCACGTCTGGCTGGTGCAGAACCCTTCTCATTACTAGATTTAGAGTTAGCCTTTTTATTTCCCTTTTCCGATTTCTCATCTTCTGATCCAATATCGCCATTTTCTGATGATGATTCCTTTTCTTTTTTATCTACTTCAGAATTCTTTTCTTCATTTTGTTCATCTTCTGGATCTGATGCAGAATTATCAAGTGTTTCAACTTCCTTCTTTTCATCATCTTCTTCATGTTTAGGCTTGTGAGCAGATTTAGCTCGTTTATTATTTATTTCCTCATTATTCTGATCTGCAGCAGCATCGCTATTGGTTTTCTTAGGTCGACCTCGACTTTTTCCAGCCATTTCTTACGAAAAGAGACTAAAAACCTTCGAACAAAGATTATCTTTAAGACTTACTTCAAAATGGAGTATGATTTAACGGCGCAATTTCGTTCTTTATTCTTTCACAGAATACCGGTATCCAGCTAATGCCAGATGCAAAAAGGAAACTATTGCGAACTTTTTTATCTCTTTCCCTACAACTTCAATGGAAATTAGATGTTATAGCGAATAATACAAGTGAGTTTTTAATTTATATAATATATTTTATTTTGTTTTATCAATCTACTAATAATTATATATTAATTTCTTTGAATTACACAGCCACATATTAAATATATAGCTCAGCTTCTTCCGACTCTACTCAAACACATGACCAGATACAAAAACGTGCTTTTGTTTACAGATGGCGGAAGTCGGAGCGAGATTCAATTCGTTTGGTATATCATTAATGGTATTTCATTGTTTTCTCTTATTAAATTTAAATATGCATATAGTAAGAAACTTTCTTAACCTGTTAAATTATTTCGCTCAACAAAGCTTTCTGTTCACATGTCTTTATAGCGATTTATTTCATTTAGGAACAGTAGTGTATGCTATGAGAACCTTTCTCTGTTTAAGACAAACATTCAGTGTTTAAATTGTGTCTGAGCCCCACGCACCCGGGATCAGTTTTTAAAATAAATCATAATCTTAGACCCAGCCCGAAATTAGTTGTACTTCGGTACTTCTTTGTATGAAACTGAGCCATATTTTTAGCAAAAAAGGTCTTTTGATTTCGTAGCATTTTATTTTAGCAATGCATAAGACTTGAAAACAGTTATTAATTTCTGAAAGCATATATCTATTTTTCTGGAAAGTGAATCCATGTATAAAATACGAAATGTTTAAAGAAAGAAAACGCTCCCACAATGGGTCTAAGGTTAAAGAGGTACTGTTTTGTTATCAGGACCAGATTCAGCAATGTATGCATGTATGAATGTATGGATGTGTTCACGTATATATGTAAGCACGAATGTATGTGTGTATACATATACACATATATACGTACACATGCACATACATTCATATATTACTGAATCCAGTCCAAATAACAGAACAGTATCATTAAAGCCTCAAAAATGCCCAGAACTAGCACACAGAAAAGAGAACCTATGGACTGATGTAATCAAATATGAGAAATGAAAATGTTTACTTATACAGAACCTTACATTTGTTCTCAGCTAACAAATCAGATCTCGTACAAAGACATTTTCCACCACTACACATTCTTTTAGTGTTTTATTCTTCCCTCGCTGTTTTTGTACCCACATTACTTAATAGTTGCTGTACCATGGGCCCAGGCTCGAATATTGGAGAAGACATGTATTTTGTAAGTGTATCTTTGTATCTGTGTAGCATGGGAGCACTTTAAATGCACAGTGAGAGAAAGCTTTCTCAAGTGGTTAGGTGGGAAACCCTTAGACCATCTCCCTGATTGCTTGCTATCAAAACTGGGATAGAGCTGTATGTTTAATGTTCTGGGACTACACCTATGTGTTAAGGTGGGCCAAAAAAATACCTTTTTTTAATTATTTTTCTATCACTTTGTCCAAAAAAGTTGACGATCAACTAGTTATGCAAAATGAAAAAAAAAAATTTTTGTATTAAAAATACAGTCAAAAGTCGTTAATTCGGACGCCCATAATCCGGAATGATCTATAATCCGGACCTCAAAGCTACAAACTTTCTGCGCATGCGTCAAATTGACGCATGCGCGTAAGACCTTTACGGCTGCGAATATGCTTGTGCGCGTGCGCAAAATATGTTTACGAATGCGCGTTTAATGTACAATGGACGGTATAAGCTAAGCTAAAAATTATCTATTATCTATTTCAGTTAATGTTGCAGATTGCGTTGTTCCTTAATCTTCGAATTGGATCCGGCTTATTATTTTTTGCAGACTATTAGAGCAATTTTATAAAAGTAAGCTTGAACTTTCGATTATGTCAAATAGAATTTCCGATATATATTTACTTAATATGTAAAGGATCTACAAAGCGAAAGTATGTTTCGAAGTCCATTAAACAAAAAGTGGAATTGCTGCAAAAAATGGATAAAGGCATATCCTTTATTTATCTAAACTTTAACGTTTTTTTTATCTAAACTTTGTTTATCTTTAATGCCAGCGGTGCGCAATGAATTGGAAGTTGATCTGTCAGCACTATCCTTATCTTCAGGGCAGATGTTTTTATTTTTATTTGGCTTATAATTGCCTTATTAAATGTAGTATTTCATCTCGATGTACTCCGTCTTTGATATGATTTAAATCAAATTCCTCGTTATTATAATTCGCTTCCGATAGCGAAGAAAGTGACAGAGGTTATTGAAAACGGAAAAAAATTTCGATTGACAAATTAGTCGGTATTCTCGACACAGACACAGCAATTATAGGACTTGAACAATGCGGAACTTTGTAACTGAACAAGAAATTATGTCTGTTTATAGAATTAAAGAGAATGTATTATCACATAAAAAACGAAGCAACTTAAACAACTTACATTAAAGAAATGTTTAATAAAGTAAACAAATAAATATTAAGCTGCTTTTTTTTTTTTTTTTTTTTTTGTAAATTTTGATACCCTTTAGATCATAATTGTTCTTTATTTCATAAATTACGGTTTCATATTTTTAATTTTATAATTTCTGCATGCCATTTTACCAGATTTAAACTGATGATCTATAATCCGGAAAAATCGATAATCCGGAATCGCCGAAGTCCCGACAAGTCCGGATTAACGACTTTTGACTGTATATCTTTTGTTCATGCATCACATTCATAATTTTGAAAATAGCAAAACATTGCTGTTTTTCATAGGTTTTTTTATAATTACAAAACTTAGTCCTATTAAAATGTAATTGTCCTTAATGATGGGACGTGAGAAACAGATAAAAGTTTAAAAACCTGGCATTTCAAATTATTTATTGTTTGTGCAAAAAGGTCAAAAAACACAATTTTTTGTGAAAATATTTTGTAATTCCTGATAATTTTATTTTTAGTAGACAGTTAGTAAATATATTTATCATTTTTAATTTTGTAATTCAGACGAGTGCACCTTCAAGTTAGTTTTTTTTTTTTTTTTTTTTTTTTTTTTTTTGAAAACTTCTGGCATTATACGAGGGCATTTCGAATAAAAAAAAAAATTTATTTAGAAAACATCAGTTACATCATATTAACTGGATTATTTATTATTTATCGTCATAATCACCCCTGTTATCCAAACACAATTTCCTGTACCCTAACTTGACAGTCACAACTTCATAAAGAGTTGTCATTGACACTTCCGGTATGATCTGATGCAATTCTTTCAATTTGAGACATCTATTCGCACAAATTGCTTCCTCTGTTCTCTGAAGAAGGGCGTCAGAGATCACAAATGGCCGACCTGTTTTTTGTTCGTCATGAACATCGGTCCTACCTTCAGAGAAATGACGACACCATTTCGTTATATTTTGTCGATTCATAATGTTCCCATAAACAGAAACAATTTCTTTGTGAATATCTGCTGGTCGCTGACCTTTTGCATGAAGAAAACGTATGACAGAGCGCACTTCGCATTTGGCGGGATTCTGAATCAGCGCAGCCATTTTAAACACAACCTACTCAACCAAAATCAATGTTGAAATGCCGAACGACCATGAAGAGGAAAAAGCTAATGGTTCAGCGAGGAGAAACCTAACGGTTCAAGGTTAACACCTGTGTTGCCAACTTGTTCACCAAAACTTTTCTTTTCCTCTGGTGTACGGTGTATCTTTGCTTTTCAAAATGCCCTCGCATATCTTGATGTAAAGGTCATTCTAATCAAGCTGTCTCTTGCTGCAGGGCTTCACCCGTTTTAGATGTTTCAGTCACAAGTTTGACACACCATTCTATAGCCTGGATTTAACATGTAATGCTTTGGCAATCTGACTCCAGTGATGTAGCTTTTTTTAATAAATTTTTTATGTCCTCATTGGTAATGTTCCTTAACAATGGAGGAAGAGAGATATTGCAATTATCGTAGCAAATCATGTTGATGTAGTCTGTTGCTTTGAGTTTTGATATGATGAAGTTTTGATCCCTTGAAAAGTAATCAGGCTTTCAATAATCAGCTCAACTGCAGTTCTCTGATAGGTCTTCTTTTATCCACAAACAATGTAAGGATCAAAATTTTGGGATGAGCAAAGAAAGACTTCTGCTGAATTACTGAGACTTGCAATAAATTTTGAGTTAGGCAATCATGGTATTCTAATAGTTTTCATGGCATTCTGATAAATTCAAAAACTATCTTTGGACCATCTATGAAATGGAAGTTGATGTATACTCTTAGAATTCAATTTGCTGCTGTCACTATCTTGAGTGTGAAAGCAGATCAACATCATGAGCTGCTAAATCTAAAATTGCACCTGAAATACCAGGTAATTATAAGTGATCCTTTCTCAGGCACTTTCCTGCCAGCTTGAGAAATGGGATACTCAAGATGTTGAAAGCAAACTAGTGGAAGTTTTTCATATCCAGTGAAATTTTTCCCAATTGTGAAGAATTTGGGTCATGTGGTAACATCAAGGGAGGAAACAGGTAATGGAACTGCAATTCACTGAAGTGTAAAAAGTATATAACCCATAGCAGAAGTCCCCCAACGTGCAATTCAATCTTGTGTGTTGTTATTGTGACCTGTTTCACTTCTCTGACTGTAACATCAAAATAAGCCCATGGAATTTCTTGTGGCTAGGAGTGCAAGATTTTGCCTGTTGTTGGCAATAGTCTTGAGCATCATACAGGTGATGGTACAACTTTGCTCAGTTCCGTCCCGAATTTCGAAGGAGAGTACCTGGGGGGATGGGTCTAAGAGTCTCCAACTCTGCTTTTCCTTTCAAACTGAAAACACATGTTGTGGTCCAAGTTCAAATCTTTTACAATCTTATCACTCCTGCTGATTCTACGTAGTATTTGAAAATGATTGTCATTGTTTAAAATGTTTGTAAAAAAGGTGCAAAATATTTCAGTTTTTACAAAAGATTATCTTTTTGGTAAAAGTATATTTTAGGGTACCCGTTGGCGAAACTTGACGATTTTTGGCGGTACGTGGATATCGTGTTTGTGCAATTCTTTGACTTGTTATTTTGGCTTGTGTAGTGGCGATTTTTGCGTCAAAAATCACCGCTGCACAAAGCCAAAATAACAAGACAAAGAATTGCACAAACTGGGTATCCATGTACACATCGACCTATTTTCACTTTAAAAAAATCACGGAATTGCACAAACTAGGCTTTGCGCACTCCCTTGACTTCGTCTACATACACATCAAACTATATTCACTTAAAAAGTCAAAGGAGCAGCCATATAATCTGAATAAACTACATTTTAAATCAAACAATGAAATAACATAAAAAAGGAAATTCACCTTAGCACTACATGAAGGAAATATCCACTTACCTTATTTACACATCTTCAGTCAAACAAAATTCCTTAACAGTGTCCAAACGCTTCTTAAAATTATCTGAACTAGAATCTGTATACAGTCAAAAGTCTTTAATCCGGACTCGTCGGGACTTCGGCGATTCCGGATTATCGATTATTCCGGTTTATAGATCATCAGTTTAAATCTGGTAAGATGGCATGCAGAAATTATAAAATTAAAAATAGGAAACCGTAATTTATAAAATAATGAGCAATTATGATCTAAAGGGTATAAAAATTTACAAAAAAAGAAGCTTAATATTTATTTGTTTACTTTATTAAACATTTCTTTCAACGCACGCATACGTAAAGCATACATTACGCATAGCCGAAATTAGAAAATTGCAACCAGAAAACTATTTGATTTGTATTCGTGATATTTATAATGATGAGGAATTTGATTTAAATAATATCAAAGACGGAGTACATCGAGATAAAATACTACATTTAGTAAGGAATTCTAAGCCGAATAAAATAAAAACATCTGCCCTGAAGATAACGATAGTGTTGACAGATCAACTTCCAGTTCATTGCGTGCGGCAACGTCCCCCCCCCCCCGCGCAGGGCAGCGTGAAATTGATAAACAATTTTCGGAACGGTTAGATAAACAAAGGATATGTCTTTATCCATTTTTTGTAGCAATTCCACTTTTTGTTTGATGGACATCGAAACATACTTTCGTTTTGTAGATCCTTTGGGAGCTCCAGCATCAGAAATTCTATTTGACATAATCAAAAGTTCAAGCTTACTTTTATAAAATTGTTCTTACAATCTGCAAAAAATAATAAGCCGGATCCAATTCGAAGATTAAGGAACAACGCAATCATCAACATTAACTGAAATAGATAATTAGATTTTTAGCTTATACCGTCTGTTATACATTAAACGCGCACGCGAAAACGTATTCTGCGCGTGCTTCAACGCGGCGCATGTGCAGAAAGATTTTAGCTTTGAGGTCCGGATTATAGATCATTCCGGATTATGGGTGTCCGAATTAACGTCTTTTGACTGTATTAGAACATTTAGTGTATTGATAATAGTAAGTTAAGGAACTATAAAAAAAAAAGATGAAAAGCTTCAAAATTTTGAAAGTGAGGTGCGAATGGAAGATATAATTATATTTGAAATTCTCTTTTCAGTTTGCTTAACTAGGCAATAGACAACTTTTCTGGGGTATAGTGATAGAAACATTTTTAAGAAGTGATTTGGGGCCCACAGTATTGTACAGCCATTGGTGAAATTCTGGTATCCCACCCACTCATATATGTACCCACATTTTTCTGCTAAAATGTTCTTTCATCAAGAGAGAAGAGAAACATGTCAAAGCAAAAGATAAAATAAAGCAAAGCAATAACCTTGGGTTTGGCATGGATTTTAATTGAAACTTAAAACTGTATTGATTTCGAGAGCAAACAGGTGCAGGTCCCTGTTCATCAGGAGTAAAGAAATCTACAAAGAAAGGTAAGCTGGGGCCATATTTATATCAAAAAGGAGTAAAGTGAGGTTGATCTTTGGATTATGGTAACTTGGTGAAAATTTAGCGACAAACTCTGCTACAGCAACCCTCTATTTTTTTTTCGCCGCCATTTTGTCTTCACGAAGTAAAGACATGTTTCTTTTCTTTTTTATTTACTGAACACTTTTTCCAACAATCTACTAGCCGAATTACACTTATGCTAGAAATTTTATGTAACAAAACTGCTTAATCATGACAAATATTAACTGCAAAATTGGGAAAAAGTGCACAATCACAACCTCCTTGCGCGTTTTTCAGAATAGCACGTACACATAAACCATTTACACATCGACTTATTTTTACTTAAAAAAACATCTCAGAATTGCACAAAAATGGCATTGCACACACTCTTAACTTTATCCATCTACACTGCTATTTTTCTCATAAATTACAAAAATTTGCACGAAATGCAAAAAAATTCTGTGAATCTTTAAACTTGGTAAAAAGCACATATATGAAATTACCTGATCGCGAAAAAGTATATACCCTTTCCAAGGATGAACATTTCCACGTATAACATATCCAAAAACTTTTACCTCTAAATTATCTATTATAAACTTCACCAACGAATTCATACCGCAAACATTACAAATGGTTACAAATACTTAGTGTCAAATATTTAAATTATTTCCATGCACGTTTACTTCAACTGAAACGTATACCAAATTCCTACAAACATAAAATTCACAAAATAACTATCATTTAATTAAAATATCACTAAACCATGTACACATCGACTTATTTTTACTTAAAAAAAATCCCAGAATTGCACAAAAATGGCATTGCGCACACCCTTCACTATATCCATGTACGCTGCTTTTTTCTCATAAATTAGAAAAATTTCACAAAAATGCATGAAAATTTTGTGAATCTTTAAATCCGGTAAAAAAAAAAAAAAACATGTATGAAATTACCTGATCGCGAAAAAGTATATACCCTTTCCAAAGATGAACATTTCCACGTATAAAATAAATAAAATATCCAAAAACTTTTAACCTCTAAATTATCTATTATATTATAAACGTCACCAACGAATTCATATACCGCAAACATTACAATGGTTACAAATACTTAGTGTCAAATATTTAAATTATTTCCATGCACGTTTACTTTCCACTGAAACGTATACCAAATTCCTACAAAAAACATATAAATTCACAAAATAACTATCATTTAATTAAAATATAATTAAATTCAAAAACACTACTTAAAATATAAATAAGCACATACATTAAATTAATAAAAATTAGCTTACAATCCTAATTACTTTAAACTAAATCATTGCTAATAACAATTTTCCAATAATACCATATTACTTTATTTACTCCTTACATTTAGAACAATGCATAAAAATAATATCCTCAAATAATTAAAAATACTAACTTACCTAATCTTCTTCAGAATCTTGATTACGTGGCAGATACACTTTTCTAATTCATTCAATAAAATTATTGAAAGATTTTTCTGCGAATTTTTCCTCCATACTTCCTCCGCTAAATAAAAAGCAAAATTGTCTTTATCAAAATGCCTAAATACCCATTTCGAATTCACTTTAGTTAGGGCCATGGGATCCAAAAATTAACCAACACTGTTTCACACAACACAGAATAAAGCTAAATACAAAATTTCCAGATTTCCCCCCTTTTCCGATTAAAGAACTGTAATTCGTCCATTAATGTCACATGACATATCTCATGATCTCTCATTTCCCTCACACAAAATAATGCATAATCGGAACTGAGTACTTCTCACATTATTACCAAAGTCCTAGGTAGTATCCTTTATCGCCTCCAAAATGTCGCCAAACTACCAGTTACCATGTTCCAAAGATCAGCCTAAAGTGAATTAGAAGGTAGAGCCTTCTAATTAGTGAATTAGAAGGTAGAGCCCACAGAAATAGTAGAGGAAATTGAAAATTTAGCTTTTTGGATAATTTTTGCGCACCCAGAGTCAAAATTGTGTCTCCTTTTTGGACATAAGATTCATCTTACTTGATGCAAAACTTTAACTATGTTTTAATTTGGCTGACATATCTCAAACCACACTGACAGGATATGTAATAAATTACTCAAAAATTAAAGCAGTTCTTTGATTCTTAAAACTTTCATTAGTCTAGGCGAATTTTTCAGGTCCACTAATTTTACCTTTTGAGTGTTTGATTGAAAACATTACTGGCAAACTTCTCTCATGTATTTGTTTCAATCAACAACCCATATTTAACTTTTTACCTATATTTAACTGTCTATTGCACCATCTGATTAATAGTTAATTCTTCAGCTGAACAGTAGGAGTGCAAAGGAATAAGAAAAGCAATCGTGGAATCATGAAACCAATTCTCACTGTGAAAGGCTTTTTTCCCCCAGCTAGCTTTTCATGATGCATCTCCAACTAGAATAATTAAATGGTTTAAACACTAAATAAAGTATAGAGGTAATTATTATATATATATATAAACTACATGACTACCTCTAATTATAATATCCATATCTAGTCGAACAATTTAAATTTAGCCCTGCATCAATGATACTGGTTACTGCTATGTCTGAAAATAAATAGGTAATATAATGTACCTTTAATTTTTACCAATTCTTTCCATACTGTAGTAAAATATTGTATTTAATTAGCTAGCTGACCTTTTATTTTAATCAGAATCATGCTCTTATCAATGTGTACCTTCATTTTTATCTCCTAAAATTTATCCTAAAATATAAGGAGGGCCTTATTTTTGAGGAAGTATGGTATAATTCCAGTATTAAAAATTTCTAGTTGCTGCACTATGTTAAAATGCCAGCATTTTTGCTGATAATATGATACATAAAAAGCATTTATTCATGTAAATATTTCTATTGTATTTATAGTCTGGAGCTGTAGCTGGCATGGCTGTGGACATTTCTCTTTTTCCTTTGGATACTATCAAGACTCGATTACAAAGCTCACAAGGATTCTGGAAAGCTGGTGGCTTACGAAATATCTACTCTGGAATTGGATCTGTTGTTGTTGGATCTTCCCCTGGAGGTACAATACATTTTTGTAAATATTTGTCATTGATTTGTTGTACAAGTGCAGTGAAATCTGTAATAATAACCACCTATAAAATTGGACAATATGTTTAAGAACAAAAATTACTCTATGAGGCAACTGCCTCATACAGAACAACAGAGAAATCAAAATTATCTGAAACTGTGAATATCTTAATGATATTTCAAAGTATGTACTTATTTTAACTGAATTTATGCAAGTTTTAAAATTAAGCATTTATATGGTTTATTATAATTTTGCTTAGTATTTGAGGGGAATATTTTAAGACATAATGTATTAAAACATAACATTCTTGAATGTAATTTAAGTTAGTTTTAATGCTTATATTTTAATATTAATTTTTATGATTACCTTATTTCTTTATTTTTCTGTGGTTCAAAAATAGTTAAATTTTCCTGGCAGAAAGATATTTAACACTCCATTGGGCACAATGTGTTTCGGAACACATTTGGGCACATTGATCCTAAGAGGCACTTCATGATTTACTAAACTTTTATATTCATAAAAGGATAGCATTTGATTTTTTTCTTACAAAAATCAAATGCTATCCATTATTACTAAACTTCCACAAGTTATAAAAATACATAAAGGACAATAAAACAATTTTTATAGTCTTAAAAAGGAAACTATTTATATTAAACAAATTTTGTAAAATAACTTGTTGTACAAGACTAATTAAGTTGTTGTACAAGACTAATTATAGATTTAAATTTAATTAAAACTAGAACATAAATCTAATCTCTCATTAGGACATATCTGTCCTTCTACTTTTCTCTTATAGCATGGAGGACATATGAAAACAGCATATGATAGGCAGGTTGCTGTGTGACACTTTTTGCACTCATATTAGCTTAATATTCTGTTATGAGTCTCCTAATAGCATGTTTCACATTTGCGTCTTTTTGGAGATATCTGTAGCTCATCGTAATTTTGAGGTTGTTGTTTTTGGTTGGGAGCATATCTTTTCAATTTTTGTTGTGTACTGGCGCATCCCAATAGACTTCAGACTTTGTTGAGCAAGTTGTCAAGCACAAGTTCAGTAGACCATTGTTTTTATGAACAACCTTCTTTTAAGAGCTGTGCGCCCATTGCCTACATGTATGATCTAAGAAATGATTGAAGCAGTGTTTAACATTGTAAAAACGATTACCACGGGCCACTGTTTTACATTCCGATACACATTATGTGAACTGCACATTTTATCTACAATATCTACTCCTAATTTGGTTTCATTGTAGAAACTGATTATTTCTGGTTTCAGTTTTTCATGGTAGAAAAATCAATAGCTTGGTCATCATGCAATGATGATTGTTTTTTCTTGAAACATAGAACACCTAAACATTACCTTCACTACTGAAGCTAAAATTACTGGAGTTTTGTGGTTTGGCTTTGTCCCAAATAAAAGTCAGCATTTTCTTCAATGTTGTCTTCTTTGCTTCCCTCTTGTTCTGTCTCTGATCCTTCTTCACATTCCTCTACGTCTTCTGAATCAATATAATTTTCGACATCAAAATCTTCATATTTATCTGATGCTTCTAATAAACTGTATTATTTTTATATGTTGGATATGTGCTCAATGATGATAACGAGATGTACACAAAACATCATTTATTCTACATTGCTATTCTAATATTCTGTATTACAGTTATAATTAATAATAATAATAGATACAGTTACATATATAACATCTCCCTTTTTTAACCGAAATAATAATAATAAAACTATACATATTCTTTTAAATAAAGAGATTTTTTTAACAGTCCTACCAGACTGAGTAACGCAGTTATGTCCATTTGCAAAGTTTGGTGATACAATACCTCTTTCAGTATTTGGTGGCACAGCACTTCTGTTAGGTTTTGAAGAATTTACAGGCACATCTAAATTTGAAGTGCTCCTGCTATTCTCAGGTATTTTGGGTTCATCCATAACTTCATTCTCATGACTTTCATTTTCATAGTTGTTCTGCATTGCAAACTCTTTCTGAATAGTTCCTTTAAGAATGTCTCTTCGGTTTCTTTCTACAATTCTTCCATCTGTTCTTATAATCCTATATGAATGGGGTCTTTCTGCTTCTTCTATAATTTTCTCTCTTTTAGTTTTTTTTCCTTTCTCTGTTATGTGCACATGATATCCTACCTTCAGTGGTTTTAATGGTCTTGCATTTCTATCATAATAGCCTTTTTGTAAGGTTTGTCTCTTTGGTAAATGTTGTTTATGGTCTTCATATCATTTAGTTTGGATGAAATTCTTTTGTATAGGCATCAGTTTACCTTCAGTGGTTTTAATGGTCTTGCATTTCTATCATAATAGCCTTTTTGTAAGGTTTGTCTCTTCAGTAAATGTTGTTTATGGTCTTCATATCATTTAGTTTGGATGAAATTCTCTTGTATAGGCATCAGTTTATTTACTTTTCTTCCAAATATCAATTCTGAAGGGAACTTAATTTCATCTGAAAAAGGAGAGTTACGATATTCCAGTAATACTAAATATGGATCCTTGTTGTCAACTACAGCTTTTTCTAGCATTCGCTTGACAGTTTGAATATGTCTTTCAACTATTCCATTAGATAGTGGGTGATTTTGAATTGAAGACAAAATTCCATATTCTTGCAAATTCTTTAATTTCCTGCAACGATATTGTGGACCATTATCTTAATATACTAGTTTTGGAATACCATGTCTTGCAAAAATTGATTTCAATTGCTTTATCACTGCTACATTTGACAAATCTTCCAAATGTCCAATTTCAACTTATTTTCTAAAATAATCTATAACTATTAGATAATCCCTTCCTCGAAAGTAAAAGAGATCTGTCCCCAATAGTTCCCATGGACCATTAGGTATTTCTTTAGATATCATTGGTTCTTTAGTGTTAGCTCTTAGTAAACTTAAACATGTTGGACAATTCAGTACCAAATCTTCAATTTCTTTTGCATTCCTGGCCAATATAATATTCCTCTTGCTTTGATCTTGCATTTTACTACTCCTAAATTACCATAATGAATTCTGCTTAACATATCTTTTTGAAAACTTCTTGGTACAGCAACACAGGTAATTTTAATATTAATCCCTTTGCTTCTGATAGTTCTCTGAAGTTAAAATATGGTTTTGCCAGTTCTGGAACCATACATTTTTCATCTGGCCATCCAGTTTTAATTAATTTTCTTAAAACTTGTAGTTCTTCATTTTTTTCTGTTTCCCGTTGAAAATTTTCCATTTCGCCATTAGACATTGGTATACATTCTACAATCAATCCAGCATGAGCTTCTATGTCTCCTTCAAAGAAATCAGATCTTTTATCAGTGAATGATCTTGATAATGCATCCACTATAAAAAGTTCTTTTCGTGGTTTATGTTTTATCTCAAACTGATACGACTGTAATCTTATACGTATTCTTTGTAATCTTACTGGGCATTTATTTAATGGCTTTTTGAAAATTGATTCCAATGGTTTGTGGTCACTTTCCACCCAAATATATACTGGTGAAATTTCTCACACGCAAATCCAATAGCTAAAGTTTCCTTTTCAATTTGAGCATAACTCTTCTGTGTATCTGTTAATGCCTTAGATGCATATGCTACTGGTAAATTATTCTGCAGTAAGACTGCTCCTAGTCCTTCTTGAGATGCATCTACAGATAAAGCTACTGGCATGTTTATATCATAATACTGTAAAACTGGTTTATTTACTAAGATATCTTTTAGTCTTTTAAATGCTTTTTCATGTTTCATGTCATGTCATTTTTTTTAAGTATACGAATACTATAAAATAAAAGATAATAAATACTATAAAATAAAAGATAATAAATACTATAAAATAAAAGATAATAAATACTATAAAATAAAAGACTATGCAAATTATTCACAATGTAGTGATTAGTGTTAATTTGATGTATTTTGAATTCTATCTTGACAGAGATTTGATAGACAGAGTTTGACCAATATATTTTAGCATGTTTACTTTTTTTCATGATTAAAACAACTGCAATATTTCTGAGATGAAATCTTAGTTAATGATTTTGAAATGGAGAAGTTTATTATAAGCAATTACTATTTTTTAAAGCAGAAAGGGAAAATACCTAAATTAAAATGAAGAGTTAAGGGATTATTGCAAATTAACATTAAAAATTTGCTTTGCATATTTTTTTGCGTTTCATAATCCCCCCCCCCAAATAGGAAAAGGCTTAGCAATAGAAAAACCTTTTATAAGAAAAATAAATGAAGATAATCATTATAAAAAACTTGATTAGAAATTAAATAAAGATAATCATTATAATGCAGAAAATATGAATCATAAAATTTTTTTTAAATAATATAGAACTTAAATTTCAAGTACTATTTTTTAAAATAAACACAACTTTTAGAGTTATAGTAATATTTCAGTATTTCAATTCAAATATCTTTTTTTTATGTAATGTTTTAGAAATTGTTATAGATATATGCTGAATTGGAGACGTTTGCAGTTGTGTCCTAATTTTAATATTGATTTTGATTTCTAATTGCCGCATTCAAACTGATCAAATAAATGCACTTGTTTTTTTTTTTTTTTTTTTTTTTTTTGTTTTTTTTTTTTTTTTTTTATTTTTTTTTTTTTTTTTTTTTTTTTTTTTTTTTTTTTTTTTTTTTTTTTTTTGGTTTTTTGTTTTGTTTTTTTTTTTTTTTTTTTTTTTTTTTGGTTTTTTTTTTTTTTTTTTTTTTTTTTTTTTTATTTTTTACATTTTTTAAGAGAACAAAGAGGTTTCAGTAAGTTGGTAGAAGCAAAATAGAAAAGCATATGCAACAAATTCTCGTATGGAAGTCTAGTTAAAAAGAAAGAGTTATGGTGCAGTTTTGAATTTCACTTCTAAATTAGCTGTATCACCATCAATATATAACAGGCAGAAAGGGAAAATATCAAAATTAAATTAAAAAGTGATGGGACTACTGCAAATTAAAATTAGGTGCTTTGCTTTTGTGTTACACGCACACATAAAATTTAAAGGATAATATGTTAATTAATGCTTATTTAGATGATGAATAAAAACTTACTTTGGGGGATTATTTAACTTATAAAGCATATAATTTTTAAAACCAAGCTTGGTTAAAATATTACTCATTGGCAGATTTTTAGAGTAGAATTTTTGCTGTTTTTTAAATGAAAATTGTGTTGGTCTTACCATAATTTAATTTCTAATGTGGAGATTTCTTTTTTCATTTATAGCTGCTGTCTTTTTCTGTACATATGAGATGGTTAAATCATTATCCTGTCAGTCCATTTTTAGTGATTATCAAACGTTTGTGCATATGTTTGCTGCTTCATGTGGGGAAGTGGTCTGTAAACTTTTATCTTTGTTTTCTTTTATGGAAAAAAAAAAAAATTACAAAATTATTAAAATATGCAGGTATCATAAATATATTAATAAGCTCTTATTTTAAAGCTGTTTTCTTTCCCAGATCCTTCAGTGCATTTTAACGTGCAATTATTTTTTCTGCATCATATATGCTTAATATGTAAACTGTTGTATTTTAGGCATCATGTATCGTTCGAGTTCCTACAGAAGTAGTAAAGCAAAGAGTGCAAGCAAATTCAAAGCTTTCTAGTTGGAGACTGTTACAAGCAACAATAAGATCTGAGGTTAACTTTTTATTTTTCACTTGTTTCCTAAATTTATTTCTTATTTAATTATTTTCTTTCTTATTATTCCTCTGAAAAATAAATGAGAAAATCATGCATACCCTGCTAAGCAACATTCAGAATGTTTGCAGTCCCTTCTTATTAGATTCACCTAATGGTATGGCTCAGAATTTCTAACACAAAGCTTCAGTCCAATGTTTTTCTTTTTCCCCCATTGCTGTTCTTAGTATTTTTAATATTACTGGATTTTATAAGAAAATTTATTTATAAAATTATTTCAAGAGGTAAATGGAAAAAAAAGACTACAAAATTCTTTTAAAAAAACATTATTCTTACAATTTATTTTGCAGTTTAATAAATTCTGACAAATAGCTTTTTGTCATAAAAATGTTCAAATATAGAGTCCTGGCATCAGGTGTATTGATTAAAATTAGTTACTTTTAATTCTTTTATTTATTTATCAAAATATTCTGAAAAATATTTTTAAGAATTCAATGCAAAAGAGAATATGCTAGAAAAATTGTATCCAAAAAGCATTTTTTTTTTATTTCAATCCAACTTACTGTAGATTAATTGCATTTGATTTATCAAATTTAAATTTTAGTCATATTGTGTATTTTTGATATGAAAAATTATCATGGAGGAAAGTACAAGCTCATTTAATGTTGCAGATAAGAGAAATTTTTATGAAGATTAACCCGTTAACTGCCACAGAACTTTTCATGATTCCATCCTAAAAAGCCAATTTTGATCTCGTAGTTGGCGTGTGTAACAAAAATCTCTTTGTGAAACCAACTATGAGATAATTCATGCACAGAAATGCTTCAACCTATTGCTTTGCTAGAGCTAAGTCAGTAAGTACGTATAAATTCGTTAGTAACTATAGAGGTATAGCGTTGAGCCCATCACATTTGTGTCTTTCTTTGTATGTGTTATTTTATAATCAAGTTATAAATGCCCCAATATGGATAGGAAAAGACCAGTACTGAAAATGAAATTGAATACTATGTTAATAATCTAAGTAATCCAGAACTTGAGGAGATTGTCAGCGAGGATGGCAATGGAAGTAGTGATAATGTACCTTCTGAGAATTCAAGTAAGGACAGTGATGATGAAGTGAACCTGAAGATGAGATGTTTCTTGAACCTGAAGACAATCACAATGCTTTCTAAGAAACTGCTCCAACTGTGAACGATAATTTGTGGAGAGAAAATTGCCAAATTCCCAAACTATTTATTTTCCAAGAAAATATTGGTTTGAAGTTGGATAAGACAAATCTTACAGTACAAAAAATCTTACAGTACTTCATATGGCCCAAACACTGGTAGACTTGTTTTTTTCTCAGAAATTTCTTGCATTACTGGTTGAACAAATGAATTTATATGCTGTACGAGAAATTGAAAAACATAATCAAATAAAAAAATCTTTTCAGTTTGTTAAGTGGAAGGACAGCGCTGCAGAAATGAAAGTTTTTTTTTTTTTTTTTTTTTTTTGACTTTTATTACAAATGGGGCCTTGTTCTTTTCCTTCAACACAACATTACTGAAGTAAAAACAAAATGTTTAACGTAATGTTTTGGCCATCATGTATGAATTGAAATAGATTCCAATTGTTATTGTGGTATTTTCACTTTGTTGATAACTCATTATCATCTCCCAACAGATTATACAAGATGTGACCTGTACTAAACCATTTCAATGATATTATAAGCCAAAACTGTGTACCAAATAAAAATATTTGTATTAACGAATCAATAATGTTGTGGCATGGAAGACTGCATTTCCGCCAGTGCATAAAAAATAAATAGCACAAATAAGGTGTCAAACTGTATGAGCTATATGAATCTAATGGTATTGTTATGAAAATAAAGTTTATAGTGGAAAATGTGAGGAATCTGACAATGATTTAGGTCACACTACTGATGTTGTCTAACTCTTGCTTGACGACTATCTCGATAAGGGATATATAACATACATGGATAATTTTTATAATTCTGTTGCTCTTATGAAATTGCTAATTATACAAAATACTTATGCATGTGGAATTCTACAACATAACAGAAAGGTAATTCCAGAGATGTGGTGAATCGAAAACTGAAAAAGGGCAAGTTTTTTTTTGGCAGGAAAAAGGTCCTTTTAGTGTATGTAAATGGAAAGACAAGCGAGATGTCCTTATCATTTCAAATATGCATGATGCTGAAAGGGTAGGTCCAATCGCGATGGAAAGCTTTCAATGAAACTGAATGTAATTCGGTACTACAATCTAGGAATGTCTTGCATTGATTGATCTGATCAAATGCTGTGTATATCTCTAATAAAGACTATTAGATGACCTAAAAAGGTTGCTTTACATATTATGGAGATATATATATATATATACACAATGCACGCAAACTTTTGAAAAAAAAAAGAACTTATTCTAAAATAAAACTTATAAAATTTAGAGAAACATTTGTCAACACGTTGATTGGAAAAGAGATTGAACAAGTTTCAAGGGAAAAAGATCACTAGAGTTTCATTATTTAATTGTATTTTCTGTTAATTTAAGCCAAAGGCCATCTATTCATATTTACGCTATTATACTATGACTTATATGGCAAGTAATTAAACGACGAGATAACAACTCATAGTTGGCACCTTGGGGAAGTAAATGATCTATGAGATATCTCATAGGTAGCAGTCAACATGTTAACAGAAGTATGGCTTTTGCCTTGAAATTTTTAAGAAAAGTTGTTCAAAAAATTTTTAATTGTCAAGAGCTAGCATTTATTCAATGTGCCTGGTTCCAATGTTATGTATTGTATTAAATGTTCTGGAAAAAGTACAATAAAGTAGAACAAAATATGATTGTCTGGAAAGTTCTGCGGACTTTTTATGATAAATACCAATGGGGCAGTACAAAAACGTAAGAAAGTTTCATTCACTTTCATATTAAGTGTCATTTTATTCCATTGATTGAAATCTCTTTTGAAAGCTATATTTTTTTAATTTAAATTATATAGGTAGGTATATTGTGATTCACTTAATTAGGGTACACTTATGCTGACTTTTACTAAGAATGTCCTCAGTCTGATCAAAGTTCGTTCTCCGATGGCGACATTCTTCCAGCTCTCCCATCCGCTCTTGTCTTGTATACTCATTTCATTTATCTTCTTTCGTTCATCCTCTATATGTCCAGACCATCTTAATATACCTTTCTCAATTCTCAACACTGAATCTTTTTTCACTCTACAACACTTCGAATTTTGAAGTCTTAGTTAAATTATATAGTTATGCCAAATAAAATTTGACATTGCACTTATCAACGATACTTTTTATTGATAAAATAAAATTGTAAAATATCCAAAAATTTAAATTATGATATGGAAAGTTTGTGTAATTAATGTTTGTATGTTGTTGTTTTTAATTTTAACCATGATTCCAAGTTCTCATCATTAAGATAACTTCTCAATTTATTCTTAAGAAATTTCATGCTTGAAAATGATTGTTTGCATGAACATGTAGACTTGAATAGGGAAAGAATAGCAAACTCTAGTTTTATCAGTTGACTATTCCATGTGTTAAAAATCAACCTTCTCCAGTGCTTAAATTGCGCTGGAGCCCGACTCCAGTACTTCTTAATTTTAAGATAAATTACAATTTAAGCCAGAGTGTACCAGAGCCCTAAATAAGATGAGCTCCAGTACTTCTTTTTATAAAACTGAACCACAATTTAAAGGGGAAAAAATTTAGAATTCCTAATGTTTTAGTTTAACAATAAGCAGACATGGCAGTGCTCTATTTCCCTAGAAGTATGAATTCATGAGAACATAAGACGTTCAAATAAGTCTCCTCACTTACATTCGGAAACCTTTCCCTTTAAGAAGGGCAGTAAATTTGGGGATTTTTTAGGAACGCGTTAAATTTCTCGCCATTTTCCACAACTATGTTATTGTTTATCAGCTTACAGTTAGTTATCCTCACAGGAAGGAAATTTGTGTTCTTAATTGCGTTATATTAGAGACAAATAAGAGTGAAATGCTAAAATAACTGCTCCACGTCCTATAATCGTCTACAGTATCCATATGGGGGGAAGTTTGACCAGCAACTTTATATTCATCTTTAGGAGTCAGATTCAGGACTCATTTTACCCTTGGGCTGCAGCCCACCAGATCTCGGCTTCGGTGCTTCTTAGTTTTTTTAATAAATCATAATTCTAGCCGGAACGCACCGGAGCCCCGAATAAGAAGGTTGTGGCACTTCTTTTATGTAATTGGAATAACAATTTCAGTAGAAATTTTATCTCCAAAATTTTATTTTAACAATAAAATTATATTAAAAATCGCTTATTAATTTCAATTTATCTCTTACATTTATTTAATTTAATTATTAATTACTTAATCTGTAATTATTTCAAAATAATAATGTATTATCTGATAATTATAAATTAAATTTAATTAATTATCCATTAAACTATATTAATTATCTGATAATTATCCATTATATTATAATTAAGTGTTTAATAATCAATTAACTATATTATTGATTAATACCCATTGTAACATTAATTAAATCGCTATTAATTATGTGATAATAATTACTATTTAACTTTAAAATTATTAATGAATTTAATAGTCTTTAGTTATTTATTTTACTCTTGTTCCTCTTTGGTGACGGTCTTCCATAGGACTCCGTCACTTCTAATCTTAGAAATTAAGCCCTGTTCAAAGTAGACCACTTGTGCTGTGAACTAAGCTCATATTTGTTTTTCTCCAATGTTTCTATATCTTTAATCCTATTATTTTGTAACTGTATTTTTGTATCTGTATATTTTATTTGAATTTTATTGTGAATATGCAAAATTACCATAGCAAATTGCAACAACAAATGTCAAAACGGTAAACGGAATGCAATCTGCCCTTGTAGGCCATTAAAATGCTCTTGTAACATCCTAAAAAGCTCCCAAGGCGGCCTCTTGAGGCCTCAGGGAGTTGTTCCTGGTTAGTGGAGGGCACGGGACACATGCCTGCTTACCTCTGTTAGACATCAGGCGTCCCCGTCCTCCATTACCAACCAACCTACCAATGTTTCTATATCAGTGCTAAGACATTCAAATTTCAAGTTCTATAATTCTTTGTTTTTTAAATCCAACAACTGGATTTTTAAAATTGCAAATGTCAGTATTAAAGGGAGAATACTGACAATTCTGTTACAATAATGTTAAGAACTTTTTCACAAAAGCTAGCATCGCTTTATTGTTTCTGAATTCCTGAAACCTGCTGAAGACTTCTCTCATATTTAAAACTGTTGTTTTGAAAAAGCAGATGTCACTATTAGAATTATTTTCTTCATGATGTTTCAACAAGCATAGAAAGTGAATGAAAGTTTCTGTTTCAAAATCTTGAGCAGAAAGAGATAGTTTGTTTTCAAATGACATAACTTCTAACATGGAAAAAATTATGTTTTCTCTTCCCTGTAGTTTTTGATTAAGCTGATTTAGATGAGATGTAGCGTCTACCAGGAAGTAAAATTTTTGGATCCACTGATCATTCGTTAGTTCTGGATAATAAACAACCTTTTCAATGAGAAATGCTTTAATTTATGTTAATAAGGACGCAAAACGTTTGCTGTTGATAACCAATGTACTTTGTTATGCAGCAGAAGATCTGCATACTTACTCTCCATTTTGACTAATTTTTTTTTTTTTAAACTGGCAATGATTAAGAGCTTTAGCTGTAATGGAGTTGATAATCTTAATTACCAGTTATATAACTTTGCAAATTTCTTTTGGAAATGTCTGTGCACAAAGCGCTTCTTGATGAATGATACAATGGAACGTAAGTATCTCGTGAGTGATAAATGCTGAAATTTCTGCTGAAATCAGTACAATGGCCCATTTATCAAGACATCAGTAAAAATCTTACTAGAATCAGTACAATGGCAATTTTAACTTTATACACCAAATAACATAATGAAATTTCATGCCAAAATATCTGTTTTTTATTTTATTTTTAGACATTTCCAATGTGAAGTTTTTTCATAATATATGCAACCCAAACATCGGCTATGTATTTTATGTTGCCTAAATTCAATTGCTAGGAAATTTTTTGTTTCAGACACTGGAAAAAAACTTCAAATTTGAAAGCTCTAAGAAGCTAAAAAGCCCGATATTTTGAAATTAAACTTCATTTTTATGTTATTTGGTTTCTTATTAAAGTTAAAATTGCCATTGAATGGTATATTAATTCAAAGCATTTCCTTAGCTTGGTATATGACAACTACTACAACAGTGCAATTTCATGTATAATCAGTACAATCAAAATGCCGAAATTGGTACAAAAATTCCCTAGGAATAAAATTGGTGGATATGTTTTCAGTTGCTTTCTTGTTTGTGTAAAATTTGATGGCCTTTGTGTTGTATTTTCAGAATTTCAGGAAGAGATACGCTGAAGGAGCCAAAGAGCCATGGTTTGTCGACCACTGACCTAGACGATAGATTAGTTGTGCATGCTTTGCTTAAATTTCTGCTTTTAAAACTTTCATTTGTGAGTAGTATTTTTCGGAACTAATTGACTGATTTGGTTGCAAGTGCATAAACAGAGAATTCCTTAGTAGCCCTACCATATACAACACATTATCTTTTACAGTATGCAGCTGCCCATCTTATAAAGGACTTTATAACTTATAAAGGAGTTTGGTTTAGCTTACTTTATAGTCTTTTTCTTGTAATATTATAATATGGTATCCATTTCTCATCCCCAGTCGACAAATTAAAAAAAAAGAACTTTTTTCTTTTGTTTCAGCAAAGAATCTCGCTGAAATTAAAGCTAGCATATTCCACTCTGTTAAAGTATGGGGCACCTATACATTGTAGTGGCTCACATGCCTAATTGTCTTCAAATGATAATTTACTATATTTTTTGGAAAATATATTCTGTCTGACAGTTCATGAACTGGTATAACAGATTTTAATAATTAATTTTCCCTGTTTACAGAGGATGGCCCTTCAGAGAAGGCATCATCTTCAATGCTGAAATTTCTGCTCTTAAACTTCTAACAACTTTCAAACAATGCCATCAGAAACAGCACTTATACTGTGTAAATTTAATGAGCAGACTAACTAGTATTTTTTCGTTTTGTAAATAAAAAAGGGTAATATGTCAAAAATGAACTTTTGAGTTTTCCATTTATTTGTCCCATTTATTTTTCTTTAGATATGCTTGTCTTTCTACTGTCCTCACATTTAATAAAAAATAATTTGATATGTGTAGCTTATATTCTATTCTGATATGAGTAGCTTATTTTAGAATCACTTAACCATTTTTTTTCTGAAAGTTTCCATAACACCTAAATTCTTCATACTTTAATTTGCATTATTAATCTTGAAAATTAACATTATAGGAAAATATTAATATTGACTTTTATGTGAATGGAGAGATATGGGCTTGATTCTATTTTTGTGTGATATTGCATTACATATCTAAAAAAAATAAGGTTTTTCTTTAATTAATATTTTAAGGAATTCTTCCCCCCTCCCCCATATAGCAGACACATAGCAGAGTTGCAGGAAAATAAATTAGTAACAATATATATTTTTAAATAATTTTTGAAGCTTTAATTCACTTAATATTGCATTAAATTCAAATTTTTTATTTTTAAATTCAAATTTTTTATTTATTAAATTCAAATTTTGGTAGAATTACAAGAGAAAATGTATAATAGTTTTGTGTTAACAATATTATTATTCTTACATTGATAATAACAAAATTTAAAAAAAAATTACTATCATGCTGTTTTAAAATCATGTCACGGGGGATGAAGTTTAAGAAATAGTAAATTAGTTCTTGATAGGAATACCATCTTTTAAAGTGATGAGTATTTTAAAATTTAATTAGCGTGTTAAAATTTTAACTTGCCTTGAAAAAGGTGAAACAGTATGTGCCGTGACCAAAAGAATTTGACTGTATTTTTCCACCCAATTTTATAGCTGAATTGCTGTATTTTTTTTCATTGATAATCAATCTCAAACTTGAATAATTTATCTTCTCCATTTATTTCTGTTATTTCCATACTTATTCTGTAAGTTTCAAGGTCTTATGATATTCATGTATGTTTTGAAATTTTATCCAGTTTGTCATAATTAATAATCATGTGTTAATAAACATAATTTGTGCTTGAGTATTGTTTGTTCCAGGAAGAAAAGAGTTTTATCTTCTTAAAAAATATTTCAATACTTTGCCTATGTTATGTTGAAATATGGTAAATATCAACAGGCATTTTATTTTATGCTTTTAAAGATTGTTAAAAGTGTAATAGGACGCAGAATAGTTTGCTGTTTTAAATGTTACATAAAAAACAGTAGGAGAAAGCATTTTCTGAATAACGTATTTTTTGAGTATTTCAAATGCAGATTTAATTCTTGTTCAGGATACAACTACATAAATTTTTATAAGTTCACCAGCAGGCGAGTGGTAAAGTCGCTGAACGCTGATACTTTGGTCCGAGGTTTGAATTCCGGGAATGCGTTGGCTGCATGGGTGTTTTCATGATTTTCCCTGTGTGTATGATCCAGTTTCCCTTAGAAAGTCCTTCATGAAGGCATCCCTTCCCTTAGGCAGATAGAACTTGAGTGCTTTACCATAACTAAATAAACCAAAACCATAAATTTTTATCCAAGTTCTTTAAAAACAGCACTTTATGAAGAAATATTTCAAATATCACATACAAGTGTAATGCACCTGCAGACATTGGGATGTAATTTATTTTAATCAACTAGCTTCTAGCTAATTTAAGATTTTTATTTATATGGTTTATTAAATATTTATTAAATATAAAATGTTAATTATTTATTATATATAATAGCAAAAAATATAATATTAGGCATTTTGACATCCTTTACTATGATGTAGCCCATTGTCACTTGATGTACATTTCATAACTTAAATAGCAGTTTTTCCTTCTTGTTTGCACAAAATTACAAATGCCAATGTATTGTATAATGGGCATCATTGCATATTGTTTTTGCTTCCTAATGTTAATTCTTTATTATTCAATCTTGTTAAAAAATTGGTTTTCGAAATTGTTTTTGTATTAATTTTATCAAATGCATTAATTTTGTCAAATTATTTTAATATAAAAGCTATAATTTTTCATATAAATACTTTAAATCATCTATGAACTGGCACTTTGCTAAAATAAATAATTATGTCTAAGTGATGCATTAAGAATTTCTAAAACTTTTTTTGCTAGAAATATTTATGCATTTGGTTTTTATAACTTTAAATATAATCAAAACAATTTTAAGCCTGGAGTGCCAAGAAATTTACATGAAAATTATAAAATTTCTATAGTTTTAACATTTTTTAAAAAATATTTTGTCTATCATTTAAAATTTATATGGATGATTTAATAGAAGAATTAAATACTTGTAAAATATAGTACAGCTTCTGAAAGTTGTGTAAAATCTGGTTTTTTTACCTTCTGATCAAGAAAGGGAAAACAAAATTGAAAATAACTGTGTAAAAAATATTTAAATTAGTACTGAAAATTTGCCAAAAATTATTTAATTTAAATTTTTTTTGTCCCCCCCCCCAACAGGGTCTTCAAGGAATGTACAGAGGTTATTTCAGCACCATTTTCCGTGAGATACCATTTTCCTTGATTCAGTTTCCTATATGGGAATATCTTAAGGTAGCATAATATTTTTGCATTTCTCATTACTTATAAACTTTAATGTGATGTTTTCTTATATTTAAACATTTAATGTGAAGTGTTGCATCTCTCATTACTTATAGAATTTAATGTGAAGTGTCTGTGAAATATTTTTGTTTGTAGAAATTTTCATTTTTTATGAGTAGGTATGTAAACCTATTTTATTTTAGTTGCTGCAACAACAATCTGAAAAAAAATATTTATTGAATGATAAGAAATAGTAAAAATTAAATAAATTACCATATTGGCTTGACAGTGTTTCATAAAATATCATTATTTGACTGCATTTTTATATTCATAAGAAAAATGCAGCATAATAATTGAAAAATACATTAAAATAATTTATTATATGTGTTATATGTACTTTAATTTAGGGTGAAAATATGCTTAATTTTATCTCAAGGCATGACATTTAAATTGCTTAATTATTATTCATACAAATTGACTTACATGTCTCAAATTCACATGCTGTAACTTCAGGTAGATAAGCCACCCTGCCTTATATGTATGATAATTGACTAAAATAAAAGTCAAATTTAATTGAATAAGCCACACTGTTGTATACGCCAAAACATTCTGAAACATGACACATAATATCCATTTAATGAGTAATTTCTTTATTGATGTAATCATCATTTATTACATTTACAACATAAATATAAAAAGTAATATATAAATAATTAAAAAGTAAAGAAGTATCTTACCTTGAACTTGCCAAAAATGGACTCTGCTGATTTCCAATAGATGTTATTTTTCATTTTGGGTAAACTTTGTTTATCACTATAAATTACCATATTATGAAAAATGAATACATAAATTAGATAATCATTCGTAAATTAGGTAATGAGACAAAATTTTATAATTAAAATAAACTGCATTTATTTATACAAAATCTGACTCATTGATGTCAGAATTTTATAAATTTAACAAATCATCATCAGTCACTTTTATCACTCTGTTCTAAATTACTTCTTCCAATATTGCTATTGTCATTTTCATTTCCATTTTCAATGATTTCCAATTTAACCTCTTCTTGGTTGGATTTTTTTTTGGGGGGACTTCTGACCCCCCCAAAAAAAGCATTTTTTATTGCCGAAAATTAATATTTATTCTATCCAAAATTCGAAAATGCAAAATATTTTTGACAGTAACCAGTTCTTGATGGACGTATGGGAGATCAAATATGTGATATCTTGTCCACTGGTCACCAGTTTTTCCTGCAATGCACCCAAGTTTTAAATTTAAAAAAATACAATATAATACTATATTTATTAACTCTGTTATTTTGATGTGTTTAATATAAATATCTACATAAAAATAATCATTAAAATTACCTAAAAAGTGCTTTATAAAATGGATTTCCAACTGTACCTTTAAAACAGCTTTACAACCTGCCTTGAACATCAGAGCATAAAAACCACATGTATCACAAAACCAAAATCATTTATTTAATAAAAAAAATTTCCTTACTTTATCAAAAAAATTGCCTATAAATATCAAAAATACATCGAATGATTTTTTAGTTGAAATTCTAACATATTTGCAGATATTCAATAACAGATATTTAAGACGTGAAATCTCATTGCAAAAATTGTGAAGAAACTAGGATTAGTCATGCTATCTCTTAGCAATATTCAGAAATGCAAAAGTAATAGCAGAATTTAAAGCAATGTATGACTAGCTATGAATTCAGTTTCAACGATCGAATTTTTCACTTTGTTGCATGGCATGCGACACTGACCTTACGGGCACAAAAACGCTAAACATATGAGATGTGATGCCAACCAAGGTTAATGGAAGCTGATACGATCATATCAACTTTGACTTGCTATCATTCTCTATCGACTCCCAAGGCAATTTCTCACATGAAGCTTTTTCTCATCCTTCCGGAATTAGTGAAGGAATGAAGTCCACTTTACATCCATTCCTTACGCTGTTTTTCCTGTTCGTGCTTAAAAATTCTATTGTTGGTGAGATCCAGAAGCTGTAAAATTTTTGTAAACCCACCTGTAAATAACCACACTAAATTTTTTGCTTTGGATTTTGTAGTATCTACTAAACAGAATCCAGAATAATGAGTCTTTGAAGTTGGAAAAAGCAGCTTTCCTTTTTCGATAAATTTCTCTCAGTCAAAGCAACATCCCTTCTTTGTGCATTTATCCTTTTTCGTTGACATGAATAATGACCCCTTTGGAGAAGTTTTCTTTTGACTGTTTTTCTTTGAAAATTGTCAAAAGGGTTAACTTCGCTCTCTTTGCAACACAACTGAAAACAGAAGTTGAAGAAATTTTTTCATTCTAGGTTGTTAACAGAGAAATAGTTTTTTTCACCTGTTGAATAAACAGTTCTCAGAAGACAATCAAAAGTAATGGCCATTTCGTTCCATATTAATTATTTGCCTCTACTCAAATTTTGTTCTTTAATTTTCTTAGATGTGTACTCTGAAAAAGTATCTTTTTTCCAAGCCAGTCCATGGGAAGATTCTGTCCAACTATTGTTTTAATCCTGATGGATAGTTTCTTTTCTTTCTGTAACACCTATTATACTCGCCAACAAAGTTTTTAGTTCCTATTTGTTGAGCAATTACTTTTACTTGAAGGTGAATTCTAACTGTTGACACTGATTATCCCTTTTCTCTTTGCTCTATTACCCATTTCTCCGAATTGAAAACAGGCCAGGCTACGATGCCAGTCCAACAAGATATTTTATTCTTAGACCATTTTCTCTAATTCTTCTTGTTCCGACTTCCACAGCCAAATGCATCTCTTGTTAACTTGAAATTCACTAGCTGCAGTGCGATTTCCAATTTCTGTCACTTTTACCCTGCTGAAAGCTTAAAAGCAGATGTATAACCTTTTTTTTTTTTTTTTCTTTTCTTTTTTTCCCCCCGAATAGGAGTTATAATAATAGCAATAATAATTTAAAAAATTCAAACAAGCGTGAATGATAAAGTAAGCAAAAAGAAAGCCACAAAGTAGTGACGTGTGTGTAAGAACTTGGTAAATTAAAAGTTTCTGTGGACATTAAAAAAGATGGCCATTGGAAAGTGTAGATAAAACCATGGAGTTCAGCAGAAAGTACATGTATTGTGATGTTTTTATACCAAGTGCCACCTTCCATAGTTTGGTGAGTTTTATACGAGTTCGAATTTATTGCAGTTCTTTATTACAACTTGAATGTTTGTATCAGGCTAAAATGTTGCAACAAATTCTATATTAATCGTTTCACTTATGCATAACTTACAATGTAAACTAGAAGTTTAAAGGAAGAGAGAAAATGAAATTCCTACAGATATGCCACAGTCCTAAATTTTCTACTTTTTAAACACATATAAACGGCAGCTTATCTACTCGAAATTACAGTTTATAAAGTAGTCTTGTACCTCTACATTCCAAAAGTTTATGAACAATGTTGAAAGTGCAGATATATTTGAAAAGTAAAAAATTATTAGCTAATCACCATTAAATTAATTTTTTTCGGAACACATGCTGTTGCTTCAACATTCTTGGAAACACTGGAAGAATGCTTCTTTGGAAATCAGTCATAGACTGGCCTTGATGTCATTTTATATAGTTCATATTATCTAAAAATATTGACCTTATTGAAACTCTTGATATCACAGAAGTGGAGGATTATAAGGTGAGAAATAAAATGTACTGTTAGCAGAGCTTAAATTGCACCAGAGCCCAATGTGACCTGGCTCCAGTACTTCTCAAGTACTGGAGCTTAACTGTAGCCGGAGTGTGCCAGAGCTCTTAAATGGAAGGGTTACTGCACTTCTATTATGTTATTAAACCACAATTTAATAGAAAATCTTTGGCTTTCAAAAAAAATTATTTTAGCAAAGAGTTTGCCTTGAAAATCATTTCTAACTCCTGAATTCAAGTGCTTGTTTCAGAAGATATAAGTCAAGATGGTAGAAAAGCCTCAACCACGTGTCAAGGGCCTATTATCCAAGAAGTCAATGAATTTATGAGAGGGGGGGGATTTTCCATTTTCTATCGGCAGGGTCATGGTCAAAAAGTGTTGGACTCTTCTTTCTTTGTTTTCACACCTACATCTCAGTTAAAATATTCTGTGGCCATGCACTTTCACCCAAAAATTGCTTTTCCCATTAATCTCCCTTTCATCATTTCCTTTCCTCTCAAATATCCTGTTTCTCAAATCACCTCTAATTACCACCTAATGAATGAGTCATCCCTTGATAGCAACCACCTCTGACTTAAATCAGAAGATTCTGTCTTTTTCTGCAGGCTAAGCTGTTCTGTCCTTGAATTTTTCTTACTTCTTTGCATAAAATATTCTGCATAACAATATAGTGTAAATAACAGTATTTTACATCATCCATTACATTTTTATATGATTGTTACTGAACTTAATAAACATGTGGGATGTTCTAAAATTTTAAGTTATTTGATAAGTACTTACCCATTTAAAGCTTTTTTATGACTTTACAACGTATAAGAAGATGCTTGTTTAAATCATTTATTAGAATTTTGCACATTATATTACAATGATGAATACTTTTAAAATGAGAAAATTCAAACAGATCCTGCAATTTAAGTTATATTCTTAAAGACAGCATTTTAAACTTGTGTATCTGATGAAATCTTCTATGGTACTGTTTCTAGCTGAATAGTTTTTCAGTTCAGCCCTGGATAATTCCCAGTACAGCTTTATAATTTCAGTCTTAAGTCTGAAATTATATCAGCCTTTATAATTTCAATCTTTATTCTTTAGGCAATATGTTGCTACAGCGGTGTTCATCACATTGCTTGCGAATTTGGTTTGAAGTTATTATATAACCATGTATTTATTGTAATGGTTTTTAATATTTGCTTGAAAGGAAAACATTTTTGCATGAGCTGTCAAGAACATTGCTGAGATATACCAGTGGCTCACAATCAGCAGTATTCTAGATATTACTTAACCTAGCCTGAATCTACTAGGCTTTAGTACACTTTTTCAGGAATAAAGAAATAATACCATAATAATTTAGAAGATAATACAGATCTGATTCAGAATTTTAATTAAAGTATTATATTTTTGATTGGGCTGTCTACCTTTGAGGAAGTATGGGTTTTGATAAATAGCAGGACACTTGAAAAGTATGAGCCCAACAAGATAGTTGTCTTCATAGAGAGCTCTTTGCCGAAAATGAATTCATCTTCATGTTATGCATATGGAAAATCTTGAGTCTTTTGCTTAAGAAGTTACTTTGCATGAAAATATGCAAATTTTACCATAGCAAGGATTTTTAAGATATTACTATTATTGCTTTATATTCAGGCATATGAAAAGAAATTTTTAGGGTCCTAATACAGTATTAAGAGTTTTAATCAAAATCATAGTATTCATCTAGTAAAATGAATTTTTTCCAGTCAGTTTACTAAATAGTATTAAAAAAATGATTGATCTAACCAGGTTTGTTTCTCCCTCACCTCAGTATCTAAAATAACAGTTCCCAAAATATTTCTCTGCATTAATCACATTTGACATTAGAAAGAGAAAAGATGGGTGTGGAAAGTAAATAATATCTTGTTATTCAATAAAAATAAGCATTATTTTATGTGTAGAGTTTGACTTATGAAAATGATGATGTTATTACACTTATTGAAGTTGTAGTTACTTTATTATCAACATTGGTGATCTAAAATTGTATCCAGTGTGTAAATACATCAATATGTAAATTAAGATTATAAAAGACATTAAAAAAGAAAGCTAAAGAAGATCACTTAACAATCATGAATCAAAATTCATTTAAAAAATAATTTATCAATAATTGTAGACATATGTTAGTGATGGGAAAATAGAGGTAGGAATTAAGAGAGTAAAAAGGTGGACAGAGACAGAGAAAAACTCCTATTGCTGCCCCCTTCTTGCACTTGGGGCTGAGATAAAGAGAGTGGGGGAAAGAGATTCCTTCGCTGGTGACAAGGGTAAAGGGAAATTGAAGGAAATGTCATTTTGAATGGAAAGACTACTTAACTAAATTTCCTTCCATACTCTGGTACTGTTTCTAGCATTCTTTGTGTTTTCATTAGTGGCATTTTAATTGTTTTACCTTTTTTTTTATTGGTATGCTGGAAAAATCATGGTCATTCTTTCTATCATCCTTTGAAATAGCACATTATCTGTTCATTCAAGGCCTAAATTAAGGTAATGCACAGCTGAGCTATTGCTTAATTCTTCTTCTGAAATTGGAATTCTAGCTGCAGCCCCCAACTATGAAAAAAATCCCAAGATTTTATTTATTATTTAACAGTTCATCATTAATTTAATTACATGTTTGTTTTTATTTATCTTTACATTTTTATTGACTTTTAATTATTTAATATATGAATTGCTAATTATTTAATATTTGAATTACTTAATATTTTATTACTTTAATTATTAAATTTAAAGAAAATTTTCCCTCTTCTTTCCTGAGAGCCTTTCTTATAGGGTTGTGTCATATCTGATCATAGAAATTAAGTCCTAATATGGTAAGTAAGGTCATTGTGGAATGATTGAAAACAAGTTCAAATTTCTTTGTTCTGATGTCTTTTCCTAAAATGTCGCATTACACTAAATAGTTAAAATTACTTCATTTTCACTTAGATGCTTACTTTAGATGCTACAAACATTGTCAGATAACCAAATTCAAGTATTGCAAGTTTCAGGCATGTTCCATTACTTCTTCATGAACATTTTGAATTTAAGTTTATGCAAGGTACTTTTCTTATAAAACACTTTCAAAATTACAGTTTGTCTTAGAAGTCAGACTGGTTTGATTCTTTTAAAATGTTTATATGGTGATTTCTGTTTTCTTATATGTTTCAGATTTGATACTCTTGATCAGCATAGTATTAAAGAAAGGGTTCATGCTTTAAAATCTTCAAATCTAAAACAATTTTAGTCAAGTTGATTTGAAGGAAAATAGCTGCATTACTTTAATTTTACTTGTTTTTATCATTAACAGGATAAACGGCCTTTAAGGGGGGGGAGTCCTCACTTTTCACTTTGCGCAGCACAAAAAGTAAGAATTTTGGCTGAAGTAATAATTTTTACAATTTTGTGATGAAACATTATTAGGTATAATTCTTCACCTATTTAAATTTTAAAATATCAAAGAATATTAACACTATTACAATAAGATCTTAGAAAACAGAAAAAGCATTAAAAATTTTTTAAGTAAAATTATATAAATATTAAAAAAAAATAATTTTTCAAAGCAAAAGGTAGATGCATTTTTTAAGCAATATCATCATGTACTTACCCTGAAATTTTTATAACCATGGTAGATTTTTTTAAAGAGTGTGCGCAAGTATGAAAATCACCAATTTCAGAAAAATGGTTTTAAAGTCTCAAAATTTTTATATTTTCTCTCAAATAACACTAAAACAGTTTAAAATAGCCCAGTTGCATACACCACACCCTCCTGTTCTTCAACAGCTGTTACTGCAACAAGTTGGGCTCATTTTCTTGCTCTGCGAGCATCTATCCTAGACATCTCTGCCTTTATTTCAGCTGACTGAATACCATGTTGATCAGTGTCTGCTTCAAACTTGACTGCATTATCACCAATTCAGTATCCAAGTGCATCATTCATAGTATGTAATCGCCTAGCTTGACCATCGTTATATATAATAACTACCTCATTCACTGCTGTCTTAACAATATTATAACCACATCTGGAATTTTTAAGACACAATTTCCAAATCAATGTATTAAACAATTCATTTGGATTTTGTGTATGTCCTCCTAAACACTTTTTTAGTAATAATGGCATGCTAAGATCCTTAAATATATCTTTGATAGCATCCATTACAGGTGCTGGAATTGAAGTTTTATGATTGTACGATTTCAGATTTCCACTCACACTCACTTTTTGATATATACACCACAAATCCTCCCATTGGGCAAAAATTGTGAGTAGCCCCACGCTGGTTGAACATTTTTGGTAAAATATTGCCCACACTGCCTTTTACATAACATTTACAAAATTGCAATGTTTTCTAATAGTATTTCAATAATAAATTCTTAATTGGTTTATAATGTCATCCGTAAGGTGACCTTTTCTGCTGAGAGTTTTACCATCACTAAGCTTCTTCCCCTTCATTTCTTGCTTTCACTGTCATAATCTAGTGCCAATTCTTTTCTGAATTTCTGAAATTAAAGCAATCTATGAGTGAACGTTTGTAAGCAGCTGCGCGTACAAATGCAAACAAGCATTAGGTGATGAATTAAATGCCCAATCTGGCAATATTCACCTCGGAATCGTTTTCTTTATTTAAGGTGCTAATTCGAATATTGTAACGCTGTTTGTTTTAACAGACTCAGAAATACCTACAGTTTCTAAAAATGCAAAATAAATAAATAAACGAAATAAAATCAAATTTGAATTTTTGAGTGTGTACTTTTCTTTTGAGTGTGTAATGGTGAGAATATGACTTAAATTTTGATCAATGAGTTTAAATAATTAGATCATATGACAAATAAACTTTTTTTTTAACAGAATAGGTGGTCTAACAGACAAGGTTTTTACGTAAAGCCATGGCAGTCTTCCATTTGTGGTGCAGTAGCTGGTAATATTTAAATTGAAACTCATATTTTCTTAGGTATTTAAAAATTTATAATAATATATTTTATTTCTGTTTTTAACACATTCACGCCGGGGCCAATTTTTATGTTCTTCGCCGTGAGACGGCGCTTGAATTTTTGCCGCGTTTCATCTGGCGGCACGATTATTAGTTGTTCAGACCTGTATACGAGTTGTATGTTTGCTAATAGTGTAGTGAGTACTTATTTTGCAAGTTGTGTAACTCATGCAGTTTTTTTCATCTTAACCTCAGATTTCTGCCAATAAGTATAACTAGAAAGGCAGTTATAATTTTTTTTTAATTTTTGCCCTTATAAATAATAGATAACAGGGATATGGGAATAAGTGATTCGTCTGATGAATGTATCAATAGAAGATATCAATAGAAGCAATTTAATAACACAATCGAACACGTACCACCGGTGGTAAGTGCTGCCTGATGAGACAGACTAATGCGGGCCACTGGTGGTACTCGCCGTACAATGAGACAGACTAGTGCAGGCCACCGATGGCCCACATCGGCGGGAACGTATTAAACACAAATTTTAAGCAGCTTAATTTCTACTTTTATGTATGGAGCAGTTTAAAATCTGCTTTGAATACAACAAAATGATTTCTCAACTGGCATCATTGTTGCATGCTACAAACTTTTATAATAGTATTAAAGAGGAATTTGTTATTCCCTTTCCTCCCCTATATGGAAAGATGTATTTTTAAAAGTGAGAGAAATTCTTTTCATTGTTGAGTTTATCATCTTCACTGAAAGTGCTTTAACTTTTTAAGGCAGAATAGTAAATAATTCATTTTATTATGCAGTTCAGGAATCAAAAGGTATAAAGGCATTTGCTAACATGTTTTTCAAACAATGTTAACAAATCAAGCTGCGTAAAAGTTCTCTTCACCTTAATGTTATTTTACATTTCAGTTCGTTCGTTTTGCAGCATGTTAGAAGCATTAGTGGGATCAGTTCCAGAGGTATCAGAAAACAATTTTGCTTTCATGTACTCTAAAATCTAAAAAAATATCCTTTTTCTCTCTATTTTAAAATTTATTGCTGAGTTTTTTAAAATTATTATTAAATATAATGTTTTTGTTGTTCTTGGTTTCAGGTAGCATGGTTGATAGGATAATAAAATGGACAACTGTATTCACAGTCAAATGCTTTCGAAACAATCTTAATTTCTTCATAAATGCCTAACCATGCTTATTTAATTCGTTGAGAATTTATTCCATCTTAAACGTCTAATATGTAAATCTGGAAGATGCATGTAATGATAGTTGCTAGTAAATTCCGGTCAGTCAAATGTCCGTATGTTTATATGTTTAAATTTGAATTTCAGCTTTTAGGGACTATTTTTAGTTATAAAATAAACATCTGGGGACTGTTGTGAATTGTTTGGGAAAACTGTCAAATTTTTAGTTGGTAACCCTACTTTTGATAGGAAAGAGGTTGCCTATATTTTTTCATGACTTTTCCTTACCCCTGAAGTATTTTTCCCTTCAATTTTAATTTTTGTTTTTAAACTTCAGAATTAAAAAAAAAAAATGAAATAGGATTCAGCTGGTTTTATGTTGCATTATTCTGTGGTTCAAATTAGTCCTAACTAATCCAGTTTTGAATGTATTAGTTAAATGACTAATTATTAGGCTTCTGTTTTAATCTTTAATGAAGCATAAAATTTACAGCTGTATCAACTTTTCCCTCCTTTTGTAATGAAGCATTTTGGTACTTCTGTATTAACGCAACCAGGCCAAAATTCGCATAAATCGCCAAATTTGGCGACCCTACTTACGGCAACCTTATGTTAATTTATTAAAGCAAGGTGTGCATAATTCGTAGATTCGTTCGTTGCCTACGTTGTGCCATTCGTAGATGTTTTTTTTAAGTTAAAACATGTCGCTGTGTACATGGATTCTTGTCTATATTTCGAACTTTAAGTCTAAAATGTCTCCAAAAATGCGGTTTTCACACATGCAAAAACTACGTTTTGAACACACGATTTAAGCTAAAAATCCGAAACAAAAACAAAAAATTTAGATAGCAAAAACATAAAGTTTGTAACCAAAAATATTTGACAAGAATCCATGTACACAGCAACATGTTTTAACTTAAAAAAACATCTACAAATGGCACAATGTAGGCAACGAACGAATCTACGAACTACGCACACCTCGCTTTAATAAATTAACATAAGGTTGCCATAAGTAGGGTAAACAAAATAATATAAAATCTGTATTAAAAATTATCTGTAATTAATAAATGTACATTTTCTTTCTATTCATACTCTTTTACTCAAACTTACAAATCGCGCCAACCTGGTTGTGATAATACGTAAGTACCAGCATTTTTTTGAAAGATGAATATAGACTTTTTATATTAGATACTTTTTATATTTATAAAACTATATTTAATAAAATGAGAAAAAACTGATTCTGTAGAAATCCGTGTGGTTAATTTTTCATTCTAGTATTTAAGAAAATTGAACATTACATGAAGTGATTTTCCGTGAATATTTATCTGTTAGTAATTTTATGGTTTTTTTATATTATATTATCTAAATATTTAGTTACTATTAGAAATCCTGTTTTACATAGTCTTACTTATATTATTTCTCTGCGCATTTAACTAACTAACCATCCTAATATGTATTTGTTAATCCTAATATGTAGATGCTAAAATATTTATACTGGAAATCTTCATATGGAAACAAAGTGTTTGTTTATACTATTTATAAATTCAAGTTGGCCCTCATAAGTTTGGGGGCGAGTAGTATGGTTTAACCCTTTCCGGCACGCTATCTTTTAAAGTCGGAGTTTTGATTAAAAAAAAAAAAAAGTAGGCAGTCTAATTAGGCCTAGAGGAGTACACAAGTAAAATTTTGTGAAGATAGCACTTATCGTTTTAATTCTGTGGGTGTGCCCAAAGGGGCTCACTGATTGAATAGAGCTTTGAAAAGAGTGCTAAAACGAGCATTGTTGTCAATGAACTGACCGATGAGATGCGGAGAAACAAAAGAATACAGATTCTCAGTTGTCCTAGATTACTGGTGAGCCCGGTCTGGGCACACCTAGGGTTCACCGTTTGATTTTAGGCAAGATTTCAAGGTAAAAATTTAAAACTAATATAGAATAAGGAGATTAGCATACAGCCAAAAAAATAACATAGAAATTTCTTTTCAAACTATTCCTTTTATACCCTAAAAAAGTCTGGAAGATTTCTTTGAAAAATGAGGGTCTGAAAAACTAAACATGGCTAAAATATATGGACTGGTTTATGTTGAGCTGCCATCTACTATAAATAAAGAAAATTCAGAGTAACCTATAGTAACCTATAAATCCCTTTTCATTCAATTTTTCTGTGCATACAGAAGGAAATTTTTAGGTGTGTCCAGACCGGGCACATTGTGCCACAAAGGGTTAATTAATAATCTGACATTAATTTTAAAAAGAGCAGTTTCAGACTTCTTAACTTTTTGAGGCCGGGGCTTTGGTAGCAGTAAAAGCTACCAAAGGATGGGGAATCTTGAACCGAATGCTTTCCCCCCTTTAAGAAATCACCTCCTATTCGCAACAAAGATACTTGTGTGTAGTTTAGTGGATTCTCAGAGGGGTGCATCTATGTCGCAAAAGGACGACCTTTGAAAGATAAGTGGTTTAAACCCTAAGGTGGTTAAAACCTACGACGTCAAATTTGACATTTCACCCCACTTTTCATCAGCCTGGGGGGGGGGGGGATCACCATGGAGTAAGGAGGTGGCCTGGAAAATGGGGGGGGGGAAAGACATGGCCAGTAAAGTGGACAACCCCGTCTTTTCAAAGAGAGGACTCTATGGCCACTATAATGGCCATCCCGTCTTCAAAAGGTTAAGTTAATGATTTCTACTACTATCAATTAAGGGGTGTTAGGTGCTGGATCCTTTTTTTCCCCCATCTTTTAAAACCCTGATAAATATTTTTATGTTTTGTTCATTTTTATTATAATTTCTAATATTTAGCTTCAGTTATAGCTCCCAGTTAACTCAACATACTATATTTCATGCATTGTTGAGTCCAAATATAATATGCACTATCTTCCAACAAAACTTCCAACAAAAACAAAAACAAATAATTATAAAAATAAAAATAAACTTACTGGCAGCAGCATTTCTTTTTTAAACTTGTAGATTGACATAAAGTCGGCTTATCTCCGTAGATAAACCATGCTATAGAAAGAAAACGAGCAGAAACAAAAAATTGTGCGTATATTGTATTAAGAGTGTTCAAAGATATAGTTGCATGTAAGGAAAACAATGGATGATTGAAAAAAGTGCAAATTTAGGTAATGTTTTGATTAAATAATTAAATATGTGTCAAAATGAAAATATGAGCTGTCTAAGGCTGCTATCACGTACGATACTTGTGTAGAATTTACTTTCAAAACACATATGATAGAGCATGTCTATTGCATTATTAAATGCTTTATTTTACTAATAAGAAATAGATAAAAGTAATAAAAGGTAAGTTAAGTAAAAATTAATATTGCAGGTGATGTCATGATAGTTATACTCAGTCCACACAGGATTCATGTAATGATGAATATTTCTCACACACTATCTGTCCTATAGGCACATAGACCCATGCCTTGAGAGAATACGTTTATCCACTTAACATCCACAGCTAGCTTTAGATAATATGATCAGCTTGGCTACAAGGAACTTAAACATCAAAGGAAACCATCTGTTTCCACCAACTCTTGGAGGATTTACAAGCCGTCTGCTTGCCTCCGCTCCTCTCCACATCTGGACCCTATCTGGCATTGTACTGCCCCGCACTGTGCTAAGCTGGGATGACGTCACCTCACTAGGTATTCGCTAAGTCAGCATCAATCGTCGATGATCTCTACAGTTTCGGCCATCTTGCAGGGCATCGTCCTCGATGTCTGTTGAGAGGACATCACCATCATCATGAGATACCTGCAAAGCGAATAAAAGAAACAAAAAAGAGAAA